CCAGGCACGACTTTGAATAGTCGGGATGAAAAAAGAAAGAGGACGTAACCTCTAGGGTTACTCACACGACTTTGAAGCGTGTCTCCGCCCTATCGTAGGGCTTCGAGGGTTTCCGTATACCCACTCGCTGGGTATATAAGATTAATCTCAGCGGTTTTTCTTTGCATGCCCACTCGTGAGTATATGAGACCAATCTCAACGGTGTACTCTATATACCCACTCGCTGGGTATATGAGATTGATCTCAGCGGGTTTCTCTAGATACCCACTCGTGGGAAGCAACGAGGTTAACCTCCACACACGATTCTGAAGCGTGTATCTCCGCCCTATCGTAGGGCTTCGCAACTTTCTTTCCACCCTATCGTAGGGTTTCGCAATGTGTCAAACACAATTACTATTACGACAATGAATTGATCAAGAATTCACGGCACGTCTCGGACACTTTGTACGCACGAGGTTTTCGCAAAAAGCTAACCATAAGAATAATGGCCGCTCACCCTTCACTTCCGTGAGGGAAGACAACAGCGCCCGGAAACCGGGCGAGTAGCGCTACTAGACGGGCGTGCAGCGCCACGAAATAGAGCGTGCAGCGCCATACAGACGCCATGCGTCAAGGCGTTGAGGAAACGCGCGCATGCTCCACAGCGTGCCTCCACGCGCGAACTCTGAATAACGCATGAATACGTAACAAATTTTCTTATACATTCTCTTTAAACTTGACATTTTATTTTGAACTTGTACACAAGAAACGTTGTAATTTGAATTTTTCATTTCAAAAGCAATTTCAGACCATATTTTATTATGACGTTTTTGTTCACTATTGAAATCCTATTCCCTTTCACGAAATAATTCTAAAAACAGCATGACAGCTTTCTCTGGCCAAGTAAATGTTTCTTTTGCATCATCAACTTCTTTTTGATTTTCCTTATTGTCAGTATCATCGCCTTCAAATGCTTTAACAATTTCCAGACTCTCTAAATTTTCATTACTATAATTAGAATTAGCAAACTGTTGAATTATAATAGCACTTCTTTTTTCTGTTTCTTCAGCAACTAATTTTTTAAGTATATTTTCATCTAGAAATCAACAAGACATAATTATTAAAGTGTTTAAAAGAGAGAGAGAGAGAGAGAGAGAGAGAGAGAGAGAGAGGGAGGGAGGAAGAAAGAAAGGAAGCAAAAATATTCGAAAGTAAATCCTAATATTCTCAGAAGAGTACTTTTTCTTTGTAAGTTCAAAAAATTTCCAATAACCAACTTACCTCCATTCATTATTCGGTTGTATTCGTCAGGTGATACCTTAAGCGTATATAATTCTTCCTTTTCGCCGTACAGTATTGGAACTTCAATTTTATTATCTGCCATTTTCCAATTTAATCTTAATTCAAGTAGGCAAGTAGAGTAGCTACGGTATCTAAGTATTTTTCTTTACAATTTTATTCTGCAGGAAGAGAAAAATAAAACATATTTATTTTCTAATATTTTAGAAATAGGTATTAAACATCCTTTTTGGACCAAAATGTCCAAAAAGGATGTTTAATACCTATTTCTAAAATATTAGAAATTTAACAAAAATTTTACAGATTATTCTTACATATATGTTCAGACACTTATAACAAAATCCACAATCAATTCACAGTAAAGCAACTTGAGTTATAGAGTTTAGTTGAAAGTTATAAAGTTTAAAATATAAGGACTTTAAGGTTAGATTTGGAATACTGTCACTGTCAAAAATTTTTCATTTTTTCAGAAATAATTAGTAATAGAAATTCAAAAGTACATTTCTGCATTTTAGTTATGAGAGTAAATGATAAGATTCTGTATACAATCTTTATTATTCAAACTATATGAAAAGAGCACATATTCGTTAAAATCAAATTTCGGGAACTTTTGTTACAATTATACATTACAATTATACAAAACATCCTTAAAGTCCATTATTTTGATTTTCCTCTACCTATCTCATAAGGATATGACTAATGTAAACTTAACCTCTATCATAATCTACTACTTTATATTCAGGAATTTAAAACAATATGAAAAATAGCGGTAATATATCGGTATTTTTCAGAGACTAAAAACCAATATTTTATAGCGGTATACGAAAAACCGAGATCCAAATACCAGTATTGGACGTTAAATACCGGTATTCAACCGAGAGTATTATATCGTATATATATTATATAATATATGTATATATGACATGTTAAAAAAAATTCGTTGGGTATTGTGAGCGTTCTACTTACTTATCTTTAATCCTTACCATTACGTGATTTTGAGAAAACTCGCCCCAGTCAAACCACCATGATTTCAGTTTCGCGCTAAAATATGTTGAATGCATGAACTGCATGAACTGCCTCAGCTCGAGAGGTGAGGCACTTCATGCGGTCGCATGCAAAATACACATGGATAACATCGTGCGAACTGCTGGTTTGAAGTGAAAACAGGCATGTTTGACATTGAGTTGTGAAAATGATGACAAGATATTACAAATGTGCCTTTTTTTCAATGCGCCCAGCAATTCGCACGATGTGTCCACGCATCGATAATTTTCTCGTAGGATAAAAAAGTGGTATCAACTACTCTAATTCACCCTGCTATGTAGCACGTACCTGACAAATAGAATTAATTATATCCTATGTGGAAAAGTTCCATCCCAAATTTTACTTCTGTTTTATTTGCAATATGTGTAAAATCTAATCGAAATAGATAATTTAGCAAATTGGAATTATAAACTATCATTTGTGATAACTTGGACGCTCGCTTAAATTCTATCAAATGGACATAAAAAATTAAGACGTTATTATAAAACTTTAATTTATTAGTTAAATTTTCAGATATTAAAGAAACAGTTACGAATAACTAAAAAATAAATAATTAAAACTAAAGAATAAAAAAAAAGAATATTAAATATTAACACGGGGTAACAAAATTAAAACTTCTTAAAGTTGCTTTAAAAAATTTTTATTAATTTTATAGGAATTTGTTGATACAAATTCGAAAAAAAATAATGTCAAATTTGCTCCATCACCCACAATTCTTTTATAACGTTATTGATGTTTTCATACTGTACTATTTATAACTGAAGGAAACTAGTAGAAAAATTGACTCATAGGATCTATTTTATATATATTTATTTAAATATATTAAATATATATGTTTTAACAGTTTACAATTATTCACAAAAATTGTTCATGTTGATTATTTACATTTAAATCTTATGTAAAAGGCTTAGTAGGTCCTCCTTCTTTTGCGAGAGTAGTTGTGTCTGTAGATTTTCCTTCTCTGTCCGGCTTTTCGATTTTTACGGTGCAGCATCCAACAATAATCTCCCATTTTCGAAGCGATATATAAGATTTTTTATCGCTCTATGATAACTAAATTTGGACAGCGCATTATTCGTATTCAACAGACAAAAATACAATACAACAAATATACAATTATATAATAATACAATTATATATGAAATAAGTATATGTATACCATTTTCTTTCTTTTCTGTAATGTCTCTGCGCATAAAGAAAAAGTAGTAAGAATAAGAATTGAAAAATAAATAGGAGGATAATTTTAGCACTGCTGTTTTTTCTTAATTCGAGAAAATGAAAAGAAATTGCTTATATATTATGATATATGTAGGGGAGAGTTGTCTAAATCAGAACTATTTGCAGTTTTTGCTCTCTATAAGGCTTAAATAAAGTCCGATCGTAAAATCGAAAGTGCCATTGGAAAGATTTAATTCCCTTCATTGTTGCTTCCGACCAATTTGACGTATCTCTCATCTGTGTTGAAGTATAATGGAAAATTTAAAAACGCTTTTTCCGGTCCGAATCGAAAACTTTTGTTTTTATGGATTTTTAGATAGAATTTTAAAATATTTTAATGTATTTTTTTTAGTATTGAGTAAAAACGAGCAATTTGACAGTCAAAGACATTTTTTCGGAAAAAGAAATACTGACTGTTTATATTATTAGAATTAAAATCAATAAAACTCAATTAATCTGACTCTGATGACTCACATGATATTTTACTGATTTACTTACTTCCTAGCAAACATGACTTAGTACTGTTATATAATTTTTTTGTCATAATTCAGATGTCTCTGTTTTATAACAAAATAGCTTTATACCATAAACGAGATATCCTGATATAAATATGATAATTTTGTTACATGTCTTTGTTATATATTTAGCACATAACATAATTATGTAAATTAAACGTAATTAAGTTACATCCATATACCATTCTATGAATGAGACATAACAAAGTTACATCTTTATACCACTCTATGAATGAGACATAACAAATACAAAATACATTTACATCACTAAGCTATAGTGAAAAAAGATGTAAATAATTCATATTTCGGTTACATCTGCAGAAATGTATACTGTAACAGTATCACTAAAATTATATCACTAAAATTATGAGACTGTACTTTTCTAAAAAATTACATCATTACAATATAACATAATTTCATAAATCATACATCACTTTTTTAGTGTTCGAGCATATTTTATTATATTTATTTTTGCACATTGAGAAAAGTGGCTTTGATATACAAACATATTAAGGGACAACAAATGTTATAAATTGATAAGAAAATGATCAAGTATTATTGCAAATTATTTCTCATTATTCGTCAATATAACAAATAATCAAAATAATCAGTATCGCTAGCAAACAAAGTCTATCCAAAAGATATTACAGGTTAGGTTCTATACAGTTTGCTTAAACTACATAAATTCTTAGGGATTTAAAATTCTAGAATTTATTTTTACTTTCTTATAGTCTCGATACTATTTTATTTACAGCCAATAGATCTATAAAGATATACTTGACGAGTAAATACTCAATTATAATTAAATATATAATAGGATATGATTCTGAGAAATTGCTTTAATTTGAATTCAGAAAGAATAAATTCAAAGTTTATAAAGTTAATACTGGATACAAGTCTCCATCTTTGAAATTTGATAGGAGCTTTAAAAATACTAAATAGTATCGATCGTCGGTGATTGTAGCAGTCGATTATAGATCGACTGAGTCAAGGTTCCATCATAAATGCGAGAGTTATTGATAATTCTATTACGATACGCGAGATGTCATCGCAATCGACCGGCCGGAGTTTTTTGACCGCGGTGGGCTCAATCGATAGTTTTTATCAGTCGCGGGTCGCGGACAAGACCGATGGAGTAACCTATGAGTTTAGTTTTAAGGTTAGGGTTAGTGACTCGGTGACACCGTGGTAGACGCTAGTCTGCGGAGTTTTCGGTGCGCGAAGGAACGAAGAGAAGCGAACACGCCGGAGCATCTCTCCCTACGGTCGTGTCAAAATCGGGAGGAACGTTTCGCGAGATCGGTCGTCGTCACGAGTGACAAATCGAACAGAAAAAAAAAAAGAAAAACCGGCAAGGCGCGCCGCCGCGATTCCTTAACGGATTTCTGTTTATATCGGCAATCGCGAGACCGCGGGTGGCATCCGCCGCGCGCGTCCAAAAATAGAACGGCGCCTGCCGCGCGTCGACGAAAGGAATTCCTCTCTCCCGTGAACGAGAGGAGGATTGCCCTCTCGGATTGTCTCGGAATCCTGGAGACGGACGCGCCGATGACACGAGACCGAAGCGCGTGACGTGACAACGTGCCGCGATAATCCCTCGTCCTCCTCCTCCACCGCTCCATCTCGCTCCTTGGCTTCGAAATCCTCCCGACCGCTTCTCGCGACCGACGAATCTGTTGCTGACCCGCGTTCCGCGTACCGTCGACGCTGAACCGCGATATCGAATGTCTGATTTCGCTGATTTCGCTATCGGCGCGAGTTCGTCTTCTCACTTCCCGATCCGATTAAGAAAATAAGGTCAGTCGAGATAATGATGAGGTGAGTATACTGTTATCAAAGGAATAATGGTAATCCAATCCTGTGTGAGTTAAATAACATTTATTATTTGTAACTTTCGCGTCTATCAAAAAGTAAATCAATCCATTTTTGTGCTCAAATTGCTTGTGTAACTTGTGTTAGTTTCAAAATAAATAACACCTATGTTAACGTATACTTAATAAATAATAAATTAAATTTGAATCAAATTTAATAAAATTATTAAATTGTTAAATTGTTAAATTGTTAAGGAGGTCGTACGGCAAATGCAATATGTTAAGAACTACTTGAAAAAATTACAGACTATTCTAAATTGCTTTTAATAATAATACAAAAAAAAATAGAGACAGTTGACCATCTGGATCAAAAGTTATTTAAATAAATAATGATATTTTTTTAATTTGTACTCTAATATAAATATATGAAAATGTATTATAAAATAATGATAAAAATCTCAATTTTTTTATATAAATACTTTATGAATTCAACAATATTTATGTAAAGTTACCTTGAGATGCAGACATTAATTGTTCAGTAAATAAATAAAATTTGTTATTTGTTATAAACTAATGGTGAATCTCAATGAAACTTTGCATAAGTCATGTTTAGTACTTAATATATTTATATAAAAATATTTAGATTTTTCTTATTTTTTTTTGTTTTAACAATTTTTGTTTATAACAATGAAACTAATAACAAATACATTAAATAATCTATAAAAATGTGTTGCTCAATAAAAGCAGAATGTTATTAACACAACTTTCACATACATGTGAAAAATACATGTATGTAGTTTGTTTAAAGCGTCAAGACACGGCAGAGTGTATTATGCCCTTACAACCTCCTTAAATCGTTAAATTGTTTAAGGTTGGGTTGTACCTTTCGATAAACTTCAGCTCACTGAAGTGACTAACTTTATTTATCCAATTACTCTTTTGTTTACCAATAGGTAAATTATCATATAGTTTATCTGAAGATGGAATAACCAGCCCTAACTCCATTAATTTACAATTAATTAAATTAACGTTATATTGAGTAGGAATCAATAGCGAACCTATAGAAATGATTAAAAATAATTTAAATTGAGTATAATTTAAATTATGAATTTAATAAGTGTAGATTAATAACGTCCATTTCTACTAATGTAACTTTAATCTCTCAGTTTTACTTTTTATCTTATTCTAATTCTAAGAATTAGAAAAATATAAGGAGTAAATTAAAGCAAAATTAAAGTTAACTTACATTCGTTGAAATGGACACGAGTCTACTCTAAAAAGTATTGATATCGATTTAATCATAAAGTAAATGTTAAATATAATACTTACCATGTTGGTATAAACATCAACATAATGTGGATTTAATACTATGTTGGTATTAAATTCTCATTGTGTTGGTATTGATTGATATAAATACCAGTGTGATTTTAACATATTGGTTTTAATATATTGATGTTAAATCATTTAAATCATAGTGTAA